TTTTAAATATTTTCAAATTAAAGCTCTGTCACTTAAGCTCTTTGAAGGGGCAAAACCAATGTGTAAATTCTTATATCATTACTGTCTGTATCTCTTGATGTCCGTTATTGCTATAGATTGATAAATATAAACCTCGTTCCCCCCTAGATATTTTTTTTCTGACAACCATCATTATATGTATCCATCATAGATAAATGATAAATCTTCAAATTGAATTTCACAGTTGGCATTCACATTGCTCATGAATGCAGATTAAAGGTATTTTATTGTTCATGTATATGATTTTCAATATTCGGTTTAATTTGTTGTAAAATGATACAACTTCTTTGTTAATTTACATGTCGGTGTGGCGAGGAAATGAAACTCGGGATAAAGTTCATAATTATTTTCGTTTTAATGCACCGACGCGAAATCCTACAGAGTCAAGGAAAACAGTCGCACATGCGCATACGAAAAATACACAACATCACTACTGCACCATTGTCAACCTATCCAGTTTCTATTTGACATTAGTAAATACGTACACCCGCTTGCGCCGACGCCCAGCAACAGAACGAATAGTTAGAGAGACCGAAAGCCAGAAGAGGCGTGACGTAAGCAGGTGTGGAAACGCATTAAGCACGCAATGCAAGTGCATTTGATAAAATGCTGAGCCAAGGGGAGTTGACATATATGTGACGTAAACTTTACAAAATGCCAGGACAGCCCTATAGAGATATAGCAGGAAGCTTCCATGGTATGTTTGAGCGTTTTGATACTCATGTGATAACGCCGTGACCACTTACTTGTGTTACACATTAACCAATTGTTGAGTACCAGTGGAGATCTAAGCACTACCTCTACAGCGTGTTAATAATTGTTTATACATGTGTAAATTTATCACTGCGATAATCCCCCTCTAAAAAAGTGAAAATTACCTATATAGAATTTGAATGCACCAGAATAAGTGCGTTAAGTTGATGTTATATTTCTTCCAATATAACGACATGTCTATTTCTGCAATTTGTAATTTTTATAAAATGAGTTTATAAGGTACATGACCTGATAGTACCTACTTAACCCCTTTACTTTGCCTAAAAATAGCATGACTCTCTATTTTTCTGATCAACAAATATCGTTATTTGTACAGAATCAGCTGACCTGTACTGAAAGGTCATATTGACATCTTCCTCGGAGATACATACCCTAGGGTGCGTAAAGAACCCTTCAGGGAAGTAATCTCTCCCCCATCCGCCGCCATGATAGTTAGAAGTAATGAACAAAATTAGCACTGCACTTAGTGAACAAATTGCACATGTAAGCTATCTTTACACAGAAGACTCAATGGACACAAGGGCAGAGATTGACGAGCGGGCGATAGAAAGTGACGATATCGAAACTCAACACGATGACCTCGAGGAGGAGGGAGAATTGAAAAAAAACCTAACATATCGGCAGAGTCCTCGCATTACAACAATCCAGTAGACCATGGTTGGGCATGGATGGTACTCCTAGGAGAATATACCCCAGATATTCCTTACTTCCTGAACCAAATACCCGGTTCCATTGTCTCTCTCGATCAATCCGAAAATTACTACGACAGTCCCTTTTTAACGATGTTTTATTTCTTTTATTTTCACGGTGTTTTGGAATCCGCATGTTTATCTTATGGGGTTTAAAATCGTTTGGCGTACTTTGTGTGGAATTGGCCAAGGATTTCCAGGTATCAAACCAAGCACTGCCCGGTACCAATCTCAGGCCGGTCTCTTTCCTGAGGTTAGTTTGTTTCAATTTCTGATAAGATCTATTCTAAATAACATCGTTAGGTTTTTATACCAGATCGTTCATCCTGTATATTCCAAATGACATCCACGAGTTTTTTTTATACTAGACTGTTCCTTTTTTCCATATGGCACCCTATTCCATAGGACATCCATGGGTCTTTATACTCTATCGTTCGTGTATATTCCACGTGGTATCCTCGAGGTATACTCTGTCATCCCTGTATATTCCATGTGATAGTCGATTGCCGTTTATATTTCATTGTTCATTTCGTTACTTACATATGTTATGAAATATACTATGATCAGAAAATAATATATCTGTTTACATAACAAAAACAGCAGTCCGTTTTAATGACTCTTGATACAGCAGTCCTGTCTTAATGACTCATCGATACAGCGGTACATCTTAATGGCTCATCGATATCACAGTCCGTCTTAAAGTTCATCGATACAGCAGTCCGTCTTAATGATTCAGCGATACAGCAGTATGTCTTAAGGACTCATCGATACAGCAGTATGTCTTAATGACTCATCGATACAGCAGTATGTCTCAATGACTCATCGATACAGCAGTATGTCTTAATGATTCATCGATACAGCAGTATGTCTTAAGGACTCATCGATACAGCAGTATGTCTTAATGACTCATCGATAAAGCAGTATGTCTTAATGACTCATCGATACAGCGGTATGTCTTAATGACTCATCGATACAGCAGTATGTTTTAATGATTCATCGATACAGCAGTATGTCTCAATGGTTCATCGATACAGCGGTATGTCTTAATGACTCATCGATACAGCAGTCCGTCTTAATGATTCAGCGATACAGCAGTTTGTCTTAATGACTCATGGATACAGCAGTATGTCTTAACGAGTCATCGATACAGCGGTATGTCTTAATGACTCATCGATAAAGGAGTATGTCTTAATGACTCATCGATACAGCAGTATGTCTTAATGACTCATCGATACAGCAGTATGTCTTAATGACTCAGCGATACAGCAGTATGTCTTAATGACTCATGGATACAGCAGTATGTCTTAACGAGTCATCGATACAGCGGTATGTCTTAATGACTCATCGATAAAGGAGTATGTCTTAATGACTCATCGATACAGCAGTATGTCTTAATGACTCATCGATACAGCAGTATGTCTTAATGACTCAGCGATACAGCAGTATGTCTTAATGACTCATCGATACAGCAGTATGTCTTAATGACTCATCGATACAGCAGTATGTCTTAATGACTCATCGATAAAGCGGTATGTCTTAATGATTCATCGATACAGCAGTCCGTCTTAATGATTCAGCGATACAGCAGTATGTCTTAATGACTCATGGATACAGCAGTATGTCTTAACGAGTCATCGATAAAGCGGTATGTCTTAATGATTCATCGATACAGCAGTCCGTCTTAATGATTCAGCGATACAGCAGTATGTCTTAATGACTCATGGATACAGCAGTATGTCTTAACGAGTCATCGATACAGCGGTATGTCTTAATGACTCATCGATAAAGGAGTATGTCTTAATGACTCATCGATACAGCAGTATGTCTTAATGACTCATCGATACAGCAGTATGTCTTAATGACTCAGCGATACAGCAGTATGTCTTAATGACTCATCGATACAGCAGTATGTCTTAATGACTCATCGATACAGCAGTATGTCTTAATGACTCATCGATACAGCAGTATGTCTTAATGACTCATCGATACAGCAGTATGTCTCAATGACTCATCGATACAGCAGTATGTCTTAAGGACTCATCGATACAGCAGTATGTCTTAATGACTCATCGATAAAGCAGTATGTCTTAATGACTCATCGATACAGCGGTATGTCTTAATGACTCATCGATACAGCAGTATGTTTTAATGATTCATCGATACAGCAGTATGTCTCAATGGTTCATCGATACAGCAGTCCGTCTTAATGATTCAGCGATACAGCAGTATGTCTTAATGACTCATGGATACAGCAGTATGTCTTAACGAGTCATCGATACAGCGGTATGTCTTAATGACTCATCGATAAAGGAGTATGTCTTAATGACTCATCGATACAGCAGTATGTCTCAATGGTTCATCGATACAGCAGTCCGTCTTAATGATTCAGCGATACAGCAGTATGTCTTAATGACTCATCGATACAGCGGTATGTCTTAATGACTCATCAACCTTTTACCTGTGTGTTGTGGGGATGTGCAATGACATGTTCCGGTGGGTTTCATGACATGATCCGGGGGTTTAGGGGTTGGTTGTTGCCATGACATTTTCCGGGAATGTGAAGAGCGAAAGTGATTTAAACGGGGGGGTGCTATGACATGTTCCGCGGGTGTATCATGACATGTTCCGGGGGTGTGCCATGACATGCTTCGGGTACTAGCCATGAAATGTTCCGGGTGTGACATGACATGTTCCGGGGGTTGGGGGTTTGTTGTTGCCATGACATTTTCCGGGGGTGTGCAATGACATGTTCCGGAGGTGTGCCATGACATGTTCCAGGGGAGTGCCATGACATGTTCCCGGGAGTGTCATTACATGCTCCGGGTACTAGCTATGACATTTTCCGGGGGTGTGCCATGACATGTTCCGTGTGTGCGCCATGAAATGTTCCGGAGGTGTGTCGTGACATGTTCCGGGGGTGTGCCATGACATGCTCCGGGTACTAGCCATGAAATGTTCCGGGTGTGACATGACATGTTCCGGGGGTTGGGGGTTGGTTGTTGCCATGACATGTTCCGGGGTTATGCCATGACATGACATGTTCCGGGGGTGTGGCATTACATGTTCCAGGGGTGTGTCATGAAATATTCCGGGTGTGACATGACATGTTCCGGGGATGTGAAGAGCGAAAGTGATTTTAACTCTAAATATCAACGACTACCGCTCCAAGTCTGTGTACTTGTGGGCAAAAGGCGAAATAAAAAAGTCAGAAAAGATCAGCGTTAGTTGTGTACATCGATCACTAGTGTGTCAACTGTATTGCATAGAAAATAATATATCAAAACACAACCTGAATATTAACTTTAAACAATATTTATTTCGATGTAAGTTCAAGAATAAAACATATCAAGTATACATACAGTCTTCAGGCTTTACCTGTAGTCTTCCCCGTGTACATCACGCTAAACTCACGAGATTAAGGTAATAGCGTTTACATCCGAATCTGATTACTGTTTTATCTCCCTCGTTTTGCGAGATCCTTTAAAACTGATTGAGATATGCAAATCGGTAATTCTGACATGTTCGCGAAAAGTGATTGAGTTTTAAAATTTCTCTGTGTTGTTGGAAAATGTGAATACACTATCTATAAATTATTGTGAAAGAAATGATCACGGAAATCTTCGTATTTTTGTCGATGCTTTAAAAACGTCGATGCGGCCTTCTCTCTTGCGTGATCGATTTCATTTTTGAAACCACCCATGTCATGTACATTACCCGCAGTTTGTGACGTCACGCTGTCGTCTGCTTAGTTAATAAACACGGGTCGCAGATGAAGAACACGAAATATCGTTAAGTGTACCAGGCCCTACATACAGCTCAGTCATAAATTTAGAAACTATAGAAGCATGTAAATTTTCACTTTTGGGTCGCTCAAAATTTAAAAAGTTTCATTGCGCGGAGAGGACACGTCTGTGGCAGATTTTGAAAAGTGATATGAGATGTGACAAGTGAAATGTCAGTGAGAAGTGTCTCGTAGGGGGCGCTATCAGTGATAATAGAAACAGTGACGGACCCCATGTTGTAATTAGACAAGATATGACGATCGGCGAACGAATTATAGACCAAATGTTGGTGTCAACAGAGCAAGCAAAATTTGTTGTGATATGAGTATGCACTATTGGGTTCAGGGAAATATAGATGCTTAATAATACAGCGAGGTGCTCGACTTTCCGGTCATCTTATCGACCAACTTTATATATTTCCAGGCGACAACGCGCCATACACAGAGTTCGTGTAGTGGAACAATTTAAGCATACGATTTGTGATACGACTAGCTGTCAACTGACAGTAACACCATAAAATTTTGGCAGAGAAAAAAAATTGAAGGAAAAAATCTCCGACATTGCTGCTGCTGATCATTTCATGTAATTCTCATCGTATGACGTCATATATCAGTTGAGCATATCCATAAGTGACGTAAACTTGTTGCCACAGAATATTATGACATGTTTACGATCCAATTAATTTCTGACTGGCGTAACCAATGAATAACGGTCTAGGTGTTCTTACATTAGTGACACGCGAAAAACACAACATGGGAAGGTTCCCTGGATAACAAATGATTTTTATCAAATAACCGCGGACGAAGTATTGTTTAGTTAATGCAACATTATTAAAATGGAACGGCATTTAGTTCAAAATTGCTGACAAATGTGAAATTAAAATGGGTTTCGCGAATCAAAGCTGTGTTATTCAGGTAGACTTAGAGCTATTAATAATCACCATAATTTAGCTAGTTTGATGTCATATCTATCCGTTGTGAGAGATAAAGATATATATTCTATCCGTTGTGAGAGATAAAGATATATATTCTATCCGTTGTGAGAGATAAAGATATATATTCTATCCGTTGTGAGAGATAAAGATATTTATAACATGAGATAAATAAAATACATTATTACATTACAAACAATGGTACACTGACACAAAAGTACAAATAAGTACTTTCAAATATAAATTTTATGATGGAAAATTGCTTCATACAATTGTTTGTGAAATCACCTCTGGGTTCTGACAACCCCGAAAAACTGTACCATGTACAGGAAACGCGCCCATTGTTACATGTCATTGACGCTAACGACATCTTATTGTTCGCAGTGTTGACCTTGACCCTATCAGTAGAATCCAGACAAACTATGTTAAAGAATTCTAAAATGTTTTTGTTACGAAATTGCTTTCAAATTCAGAGTTTGGAGAAGACCTGACTACGTGACCTTTGACATAGCCTTTTGAATCGTAGCAGGTTTAAGCTGTGTTAGGATGCCCTGCTGGAAACTTGTGAAATAATCTTTATAAGCATATTGACACTTACATAAACCTAACCTCTAACCTCGCACAATCGTAAAACCCTGCATATATGAAAATAATCTTCCGGCGCGTCCTTGACCTTTAAACTTCATTTTTATGACCTATGAAATAAGGAGATTTGAGCTGTACATATATAAAATTCCAAACAGCTTTGTGGCGTAGACCAATATTTTATTTTTTGAGGTGGGTCTTTATGTGTTAAATGCTGAGAATAAAGGTGATGCTAAGCCAAACTTAATAAATGGCGCAAAATTTACAACAATATTACCAATCCCAGCAAAATAAAGATTTTCTCGCATACCTTATATTTCATTCTTATCCTTGTTATATCCGGTTCCTGTTGAAGCTGAGTGAATATTTTGCATCTATAATGACTATCAGTACATATAGTTTTATAAAGATAAATACTCATCACTCATTATACACCATTGTATATACATCAGTTCGTTTCAGCTTACAAAAATAGATCAAACGTCATCAGGTATGATCATAAAGCCCTCCTATATATATTTTATTACGTTATGATGTAAAACCTGGTCAAGTAAAACCCCTTAAATAAATATTTCTCTTTTAAACAATACGGAATGAAATAAAATATTAACTTCGAAACTCGTAAAATGACTACTGTTTACCAAAATATGACAATTATTAAACTGACAATTTTGTCGCGTCGTTTGGATAAAATATTCAGTAACAATAGAGATGACAAGAAAACAGAATGTTAGGTTATGAGCAAGTCTTGCAGCACCTTGTCCGGAAAGTTCCGCTGCCACACAGTCGCATGATCTTCACTATACTACAGTAGTCAGATTCGTCAGTACACACTGAAACGTAAAAAATGTGACGTCATTAATTACTAACGAGAAAACACTACAACATTTCATTCAGATGTAACAAAAGTACAGAGACAAGGTCGAGTAAACGGAAGTACAGACACACTGTGGCGGAAGTACTTACATACGGTGGCGTAAGTACTTTCACAGAGTGGCAGAAGAACTTACGCACAGTGGCGGAAGTACTTACATGCAGTGGCGGAAGTACTTATACAAAGTGGCGGAAGTTCTTACACACAGTGGCGGAAGTACTTACACACAATGATGTTACAGAAACAAATAGATACACAGTTACGAAAGTAGTGAGACGGAAACGGAAGTATATCAATACAAAGTAACGGAAGCACTGGTCACATCAATCAAACGTAAGTACACAGAAACGTAAGTAACAGAAGAACACTGACGAATGGTAACAGGTGTACAAAGTTTGACAGCAACGGAATCACATAGTGAGTAGTAATGAAAGTACAAAAATAGATACATAGTTACGAAAGTACATAGAAATACACTAAAGGACTAAAGGAAGTACAGAGACACGCAGTAACGGAGCTAATACAGAGATACTAAGTAACGAAAGTTGATAGAGAGTCAGTAACAAAAGAATGAAAATACGAGGTAACGGAAATGCAAAGAAACAGAGAAAAGAGATAACAGAGAAACGCAATAACGGAACTACAATGATACAGGTTAAAAGAACTTTAAAGGAAACAGCAACGGAAGTAAAAAAAAGTAACGGAAGTACTAAGCTACTAAGCTACAAAGCAACGAAAGTACAGATATAAGATACAAAAATACACAGTGACCAAACGGAAGTAGAAACCTGATACACAGTGACAAAGCTGAGGTACATTTACAGTGACACAACGGTAGTACAGTGAACAACCATGATTCCTTACCTTTAGAACACTTCTTAATACACGACTTTCTCGTCCTGGGTCGACGGATGCCTTCACAATGACGCATAGCTGGGAGACCAGAATTAGACCATATGCAGTTCAACATCCTGGCTCGGAATCCCTTTTCACCACACTCTCCCATACACTGAAATCAACGGGGAAAATAATGTTTATAATCCAAGAATATAAATAAGATAGAATTGTACCAAGTCTATAAATCAAAACTACAGCTATACGCAATCACAAAACTGATGACGTCATGAAACCTTTACCACAAAACACGTGACTATATAGATGTGCTTACGTCTGACCACGTGGAAGTGTTCCATCTTGCCGTACAGTTAACGTTGATACACTCCCTGATCGGATGCGGCCCAGCCATTGGTCCTTGACAGTAGGTTGAATTGATGGGAACCGTCTCGTCCTCTTCAGAAACACACATCACAGTCCTCTCCATCAAGGAGAACATGTTTCTCGTACATTTTGAATGTAGACACTGTAAGATTTGGCGTCAGACGAGTGAACCAACGTGTTTGGTTTTCACTTTCATACACGTTTTCTCGATAACGTTTAAATAAATACTAGCGGATATTTACAAAAACAAAACAAACAGAAGCTATCAAAACATTTGAATGTGACACGGTGTTATTTTTCATTAATATTATATAATATGATTGATTTCCTTACTACTAAAACAGCACGTGTGACAAGCAAGACTTTGAACATTGTTGAATGAAAGCATCGATAAGTTATATGTTTTATTTTTTTTTCATTTAATTCCATCATACATTTGAAAAAAAACTTGTGAGAAATAGTTGACGTACCATTGAATTGTCATTAACCTGAATCTTACCTCTGACCATTCACCGACCTTCCAAAAGGTACAAGGCATGAGGTTACAGCTCCTGATCAGCTCCGGTTTAGGATACCCAGCCTTAATGCAAGTTCGCATTGGAAACATTTCGTAATAGTCATTGGTTATAATTTCACATGTGACATTCCTATTTTGAAGGCCCCCACCACACGTGGCTGAGCACGCGCTCCAAGGCACTTCTACCAGATACAAAGTACGTAACGTTCTATCTAGTGGATCCTTCTGAAAAGTCGTCATGTTCCTGGCTCGTGTTTCCGCTAACATTTCTGACAAGTAGGATTCCCGAACAACTGTTTCTTGGAAAAGATCGTACACTGTGCTGAAAGATAGCGTCATATTAGCATGAACATTACCATATTTACAGGTATACACACCATAATCAACTTCCGGTCGGCTTTTCCTTATCTTTAATGCGTAACGTTGCGTCAATTTCACTCGTGACGTCATGTAAAGCCTTCGTCCGTCTTTGAACCATTGTATTGCCTTTTTATTTACACCCTTTGCCGTACATTTTATTATCACTGTAGTTCCTGGCAACACTGACGCTTTCATTCCCACACTTAGTCGTATCCTTTTTATCTTATTTAATTGGAAAAATACGGCATCAACTCTTTTGATTTTAGGCGTTGGGCATTTCGTCCGGTTACACTGTTGAAACCTGTCCGGCTGTAGAATGTTCCAACATTCGTCATAAGTTACATTTACTGTCCGTCCGTCCGATATTTCCTTCACGCAGAACACGTCACGTGACCGAAGGCCAACTCCACAAGATACAGAACACTGTAACGATATACATGAACAGATTATATATATTCTCTACTTCATGCAGATATTCAATAAATCAATAAAATAAAATCAATACATAGGATTCCATGCATTATCCAATCGCTTGAATAATCAAACTCACGCCTTCATCAAACAAGATAATCAGACTCACTCCTTCATCAAACAAGATAATCAGACTCACGCCTTCATCAAACAAGATAATCAAACTCACGCCTTCATCAAACAAGAGTTCCTCAGAACTGTATGTGTCGCCTGCATAAAGTGTCACGGTCATCCAGAAATTGAACTGGATGTGCAACGATCAACCATTAAGTTGCAATACCAATTGTCATTTCTATAACTTGAAGCATAACCAAAGGAATTCAAGAAAACAATATTCCCAGAGAATTTTCTAAGTTGAAAGGGGCATAACTCTGCCAAAAAGTGTCACAGACAGTCGGGAATCGAACTTAATCTGTACCCTTGCAACAAAAAGCCATATGCCAAATTTCATTTTGATAACTCAAAGCATTACGAAAAAAGTCCGGAAAGCTTTCGTACGGACGACGACGACGACGCGTGACGACGGACAAAGTGATTCCTAGGTGTCCGCCAACTCTGCGACGACACAACAAGATATTCAAACTCACGTCTTAATCAAACAAGATAATCAGACTCACGCCTTCATCAAACAAGATAATCAAACTCACGCCTTAATCAAACAAGATAATCAAACTCACGCCTTCATCAAACAAGATACTCAAACTCACGCCTTACTCAAACAAGATACTCAAACTCACGCCTTCATCAAACAAGATAATCAAACTCACGCCTTAATCAAACAAGATCATCAAACTCACGCCTTACTCAAACAAGATAATGAGACTCACGTCTTAATCAAACAAGATCATCAAACTCACGCCTTCATCAAACAAGATAATCAAACTCACGCCTTCATCAAACAAGTTAATCAGACACACGCCTTCATCAAACAAGTTAATCAGACACACGCCTTCATCAAACAAGATCATCAAACTCACACCTTACTCAAACAAGATCATCAGACTCACGCCTTCATCAAACAAGATCATCAGACTCACGCCTTCATCAAACAAGATAATCAAACTCACACCTTCATCAAACAAGTTAATCAGACACACGCCTTCATCAAACAAGATAATCAAACTCACACCTTACTCAAACAAGATAATCAAACTCACGCCTTCATCAAACAAGTTAATCAGACACACGCCTTCATCAAACAAGATAATCAAAATCACGCCTTCATCAAACAAGTTAATCAAACTCACGCCTTCATCAAACAAGTTAATCAGACACACGCCTTCATCAAACAAGATCATCAAACTCACACCTTACTCAAACAAGATCATCAGACTCACGCCTTCATCAAACAAGATCATCAGACTCACGCCTTCATCAAACAAGATAATCAAACTCACACCTTCATCAAACAAGTTAATCAGACACACGCCTTCATCAAACAAGATAATCAAACTCACGCCTTCATCAAACAAGATAATCAGACTCACGCCTTCATCAAACAAGATCATCAAACTCACACCTTACTCAAACAAGATAATCAAACTCACGCCTTCATCAAACAAGATAATCAGACTCACCCCTTCATCAAACAAGATAATCAGACTCACGCCTTCATCAAACAAGTTAATCAGACTCACGCCTTCATCAAACAAGATAATCAGACTCACGCCTTAATCAAACAAGATAATCAAACTCACACCTTACTCAAACAAGATAATCAAACTCACGCCTTCATCAAACAAGATAATCAAACTCACGCCTTAATCAAACAAGATTATCAAACTCACGCCTTACTCAAACAAGATAATCAGACTAACCCCTTCATCAAACAAGATAATCAGACTCACGCCTTCATCAAACAAGATAATCAAACTCACGCCTTAATCAAACAAGATAATCAAACTCACGCCTTCATCAAACAAGATAATCAGACTCACGCCTTCATCAAACAAGATCATCAAACTCACGCCTTCATCAAACAAGATCATCAAACTCACGCCTTCATCAAACAAGATAATCAGACTCACCCCTTCATCAAACAAGATAATCAGACTCACGCCTTCATCAAACAAGATAATCAGACTCACGCCTTCATCAAACAAGATCATCAAACTCACACCTTCATCAAACAAGTTAATCAGACACACGCCTTCATCAAACAAGATCATCAAATTCACACCTTACTCAAACAAGATCATCAGACTCACGCCTTCATCAAACAAGATCATCAAACTCACGCCTTAATCAAACAAGATAATCAGACTCACGCCTTCATCAAACAAGATAATAAAACTCACGCCTTCATCAAACAAGATAATCAGACTCACGCCTTCATCAAACAAGATCATCAGACTCACGCCTTCATCAAACAAGATCATTAAACTCACGCCTTAATCAAACAAGATAATCAGACTCACGTCTTAATCAAACAAGATAATCAGACTCACGCCTTCATCAAACAAGATAATCAGACTCACCCCTTCATCAAACAAGATAATCAGACTCACGCCTTCATCAAACAAGATAATCAGACTCACGCCTTCATCAAACAAGATCATCAAACTCACGCCTTAATCAAACAAGATAATCAAACTCACACCTTCATCAAACAAGATCATCAAACTCACGCCTTCATCAAACAAGATCATCAAACTCACGCCTTAATCAAACAAGATAATCAGACTCACGCCTTACTCAAACAAGATAATCAGACTCACGCCTTCATCAAACAAGATCATCAAACTCACGCCTTCATCAAACAAGATAATCAAACTCACACCTTACTCAAACAAGATCATCAAACTCACGCCTTCATCAAACAAGTTAATCAGACTCACTCCTTCATCAAACAAGATAATCAGACTCACGCCTTCATCAAACAAGATAATCAGACTCACGCCTTCATCAAACAAGATCATCAAACTCACGCCATCATCAAACAAGATAATCAAACTCACGCCTTACTCAAACAAGATAATCAGACTCACGCCTTCATCAAACAAGATACTCAAACTCACGCCTTCATCAAACAAGATACTCAAACTCACGCCTTCATCAAACAAGATAATCAAACTCACGCCTTAATCAAACAAGATCATCAAACTCACGCCTTACTCAAACAAGATAATGAGACTCACGTCTTAATCAAACAAGATCATCAAACTCACGCCTTCATCAAACAAGATAATCAAACTCACGCCTTCATCAAACAAGTTAATCAGACACACGCCTTCATCAAACAAGATAATCAAACTCACGCCTTCATCAAACAAGTTAATCAAACTCACGCCTTCATCAAACAAGTTAATCAGACACACGCCTTCATCAAACAAGATCATCAAACTCACACCTTACTCAAACAAGATCATCAGACTCACGCCTTCATCAAACAAGATCATCAGACTCACGCCTTCATCAAACAAGATAATCAAACTCACACCTTCATCAAACAAGTTAATCAGACACACGCCTTCATCAAACAAGATAATCAAACTCACACCTTACTCAAACAAGATAATCAAACTCACGCCTTCATCAAACAAGTTAATCAGACACACGCCTTCATCAAACAAGATAATCAAAATCACGCCTTCATCAAACAAGTTAATCAAACTCACGCCTTCATCAAACAAGTTAATCAGACACACGCCTTCATCAAACAAGATCATCAAACTCACACCTTACTCAAACAAGATCATCAGACTCACGCCTTCATCAAACAAGATCATCAGACTCACGCCTTCATCAAACAAGATAATCAAACTCACACCTTCATCAAACAAGTTAATCAGACACACGCCTTCATCAAACAAGATAATCAAACTCACGCCTTCATCAAACAAGATAATCAGACTCACGCCTTCATCAAACAAGATCATCAAACTCACACCTTACTCAAACAAGATAATCAAACTCACGCCTTCATCAAACAAGATAATCAGACTCACCCCTTCATCAAACAAGATAATCAGACTCACGCCTTCATCAAACAAGTTAATCAGACTCACGCCTTCATCAAACAAGATAATCAGACTCACGCCTTAATCAAACAAGATAATCAAACTCACACCTTACTCAAACAAGATAATCAAACTCACGCCTTCATCAAACAAGATAATCAAACTCACGCCTTAATCAAACAAGATTATCAAACTCACGCCTTACTCAAACAAGATAATCAGACTCACCCCTTCATCAAACAAGATAATCAGACTCACGCCTTCATCAAACAAGATAATCAAACTCACGCCTTAATCAAACAAGATAATCAAACTCACGCCTTCATCAAACAAGATAATCAGACTCACGCCTTCATCAAACAAGATCATCAAACTCACGCCTTCATCAAACAAGATCATCAAACTCACGCCTTCATCAAACAAGATAATCAGACTCACCCCTTCATCAAACAAGATAATCAGACTCACGCCTTCATCAAACAAGATAATCAGACTCACGCCTTCATCAAACAAGATCATCAAACTCACACCTTCATCAAACAAGTTAATCAGACACACGCCTTCATCAAACAAGATCATCAAACTCACACCTTACTCAAACAAGATCATCAGACTCACGCCTTCATCAAACAAGATCATCAAACTCACGCCTTAATCAAACAAGATAATCAGACTCACGCCTTCATCAAACAAGATAATAAAACTCACGCCTTCATCAAACAAGATAATCAGACTCACGCCTTCATCAAACAAGATCATCAGACTCACGCCTTCATCAAACAAGATCATTAAACTCACGCCTTAATCAAACAAGATAATCAGACTCACGTCTTAATCAAACAAGATAATCAGACTCACGCCTTCATCAAACAAGATAATCAGACTCACCCCTTCATCAAACAAGATAATCAGACTCACGCCTTCATCAAACAAGATAATCAGACTCACGCCTTCATCAAACAAGATCATCAAACTCACGCCTTAATCAAACAAGATAATCAAACTCACACCTTCATCAAACAAGATCATCAAACTCACGCCTTCATCAAACAAGATCATCAAACTCACGCCTTAATCAAACAAGATAATCAGACTCACGCCTTACTCAAACAAGATAATCAGACTCACGCCTTCATCAAACAAGATCATCAAACTCACGCCTTCATCAAACAAGATAATCAAACTCACACCTTACTCAAACAAGATCATCAAACTCACGCCTTCATCAAACAAGTTAATCAGACTCACTCCTTCATCAAACAAGATAATCAGACTCACGCCTTCATCAAACAAGATAATCAGACTCACGCCTTCATCAAACAAGATCATCAAACTCACGCCATCATCAAACAAGATAATCAAACTCACGCCTTACTCAAACAAGATAATCAGACTCACGCCTTCATCAAACAAGATACTCAAACTCACGCCTTCATCAAACAAGATAATCAGACTCACGCCTTCATCAAACAAGATCATCAGACTCACGCCTTACTCAAACAAGATACTCAAACTCACGTCTTACTCAAACAAGATAATCAGACTCACGCCTTCATCAAACAAGATACTCAAACTCACGCCTTACTCAAACAAGATACTCAAACTCACGCCTTCATCAAACAAGATACTCAAACTCACGCCTTCATCAAACAAGATAATCAGACTCACGCCTTCATCAAACAAGATAATCAGACTCACGCCTTCATCAAACAAGATAATCAGACTCACGCCTTCATCAAACAAGATAATCAGACTCACGCCTTCATCAAACAAGATACTCAAACTCACGCCTTACTCAAACAAGATACTCAAACTCACGCCTTCATCAAACAAGATACTCAAACTCACGCCTTCATCAAACAAGATAATCAAACTCACGCCTTACTCAAACAAGATAATCAGACTCACGCCTTCATCAAACAAGTTAATCAGACTCACGCCTTCATCAAACAAGATAATCAGACTCACGCCTTAATCAAACAAGATAATCAAACTCACACCTTACTCAAACAAGATAATCAAACTCACGCCTTCATCAAACAAGATCATCAGACTCACGCCTTCATCAAACAAGATAATCAGACTCACGCCTTAATCAAACAAGATAATCAAACTCACACCTTACTCAAACAAGATAATCAAACTCACGCCTTCATCAAACAAGATAATCAAACTCACGCCTTAATCAAACAAGATTATCAAACTCACGCCTTCATCAAACAAGATAATCAGACTCACGCCTTCATCAAACAAGATAATCAGACTCACGCCTTCATCAAACAAGATAATCAAACTCACGCCTTAATCAAACAAGATAATCAAACTCACGCCTTCATCAAACAAGATAATCAGACTCACGCCTTCATCAAACAAGATCATCAAACTCACGCCTTCATCAAACAAGATCATCAAACTCACGCCTTCATCAAACAAGATCATCAAACTCACACCTTACTCAAACAAGATAATCAGACTCACGCCTTCATCAAACAAGATAATCAGACTCACGCCTTAATCAAACAAGATAATCAGACTCACGTCTTAATCAAACAAGATAATCAGACTCACGCCTTCATCAAACAAGATAATCAAACTCACGCCTTCATCAAACAAGATAATCAGACTCACGCCTTCATCAAACAAGATCATCAAACTCACACCTTACTCAAACAAGATAATCAAACTCACACCTTACTCAAACAAGATAATCAAACTCACGCCTTCATCAAACAAGATAATCAAACTCACGCCTTCATCAAACAAGATAATCAAACTCACGCCTTCATCAAACAAGATAATCAAACTCACACCTTACTCAAACAAGATAATCAAACTCACGCCTTCATCAAACAAGATAATCAGACTCACGCCTTCATCAAACAAGATCATCAAACTCACACCTTACTCAAACAAGATAATCAAACTCACACCTTACTCAAACAAGATAATCAAACTCACGCCTTAATCAAACAAGATAATCAGACTCACGCCTTAATCAAACAAGATAATCAAACTCACGCCTTAATCAAACAAGATAATCAAACTCACGCCTTCATCAAACAAGATAATCAGACTCACCCCTTCATCAAACAAGATAATCAGACTCACGCCTTCATCAAACAAGTTAATCAGACTCACGCCTTCATCAAACAAGATAATCAAACTCACGCCTTAATCAAACAAGATTATCAAACTCACGCCTTCATCAAACAAGATAATCAGACTCACCCCTTCATCAAACAAGATAATCAGACTCACGCCTTCATCAAACAAGATCATCAAACTCACGCCTTAATCAAACAAGATAATCAAACTCACGCCTTCATCAAACAAGATAATCAGACTCACGCCTTCATCAAACAAGATCATCAGACTCACGCCTTACTCAAACAAGATCATCAAACTCACACCTTCATCAAACAAGTTAATCAGACACACGCCTTCATCAAACAAGATCATCAAACTCACACCTTACTCAAACAAGATCATCAGACTCACGCCTTCATCAAACAAGATAATCAGACTCACGTCTTAATCAAACAAGATAATCAGACTCACCCCTTCATCAAACAAGATAATCAGACTAACGCCTTCATCAAACAAGATAATCAGACTCACGCCTTCATCAAACAAGATCATCAAACTCACGCCTTAATCAAACAAGATAATCAAACTCACACCTTCATCAAACAAGATCATCAAACTCACGCCTTCATCAAACAAGATCATCAAACTCACGCCTTAATCAAACAAGATAATCAGACTCACGCCTTACTCAAACAAGATAATCAGACTCACGCCTTCATCAAACAAGATCATCAAACTCACGTCTTAATCAAACAATATAATCAAACTCACGCCTTCATCAAACAAGATCATCAAACTAACGCCTTCATCAAACAAGATAATCAAACTCACGTCTTAATCAAACAAGATAATCAAACTCACACCTTACTCAAACAAGATCATCAGACTCACGCCTTCATCAAACAAGATCATCAGACTCACGCCTTCATCAAACAAGATAATCAGACTCACACTTTACTCAAACAAGATAATCAAACTCACGCCTTCATCAAACAAGATAATCAAACTCACACCTTACTCAAACAAGATAATCAAACTCACGCCTTCATCAAACAAGATAATCAAACTCACACCTTACTCAAACAAGATCATCAAACTCACGCCTTCATCAAACAAGTTAATCAGACTCACTCCTTCATCAAACAAGATAATCAGACTCACGCCTTCATCAAACAAGATAATCAGACTCACGCCTTCATCAAACAAGATCATCAAACTCACGCCATCATCAAACAAGATAATCAAACTCACGCCTTACTCAAACAAGATAATCAGACTCACGCCTTCATCAAACAAGATACTCAATTTCACGCCTTCATCAAACAAGATAATCAGACTCACGCCTTCATCAAACAAGATCATCAGACTCACGCCTTACTCAAACAAGATACTCAAACTCACGTCTTACTCAAACAAGATAATCAGACTCACGCCTTCATCAAACAAGATACTCAAACTCACGCCTTACTCAAACAAGATACTCAAACTCACGCCTTCATCAAACAAGATACTCAAACTCACGCCTTCATCAAACAAGATAATCAGACTCACGCCTTCATCAAACAAGATAATCAAACTCACACCTTACTCAAACAAGATCATCAAACTCACGCCTTCATCAAACAAGTTAATCAGACTCACTCCTTCATCAAACAAGATAATCAGACTCACGCCTTCATCAAACAAGATAATCAGACTCACGCCTTCATCAAACAAGATCATCAAACTCACGCCATCATCAAACAAGATAATCAAACTCACGCCTTCATCAAACAAGATAATCAGACTCACGCCTTCATCAAACAAGATACTCAAACTCACGCCTTCATCAAACAAGATAATCAGACTCACGCCTTCATCAAACAAGATCATCAGACTCACGCCTTACTCAAACAAGATACTCAAACTCACGTCTTACTCAAACAAGATAATCAGACTCACGCCTTCATCAAACAAGATACTCAAACTCACGCCTTACTCAAACAAGATACTCAAACTCACGCCTTCATCAAACAAGATACTCAAACTCACGCCTTCATCAAACAAGATAATCAGACTCACGCCTTCATCAAACAAGATAATCAGACTCACGCCTTCATCAAACAAGATAATCAGACTCACGCCTTCATCAAACAAGATAATCAGACTCACGCCTTCATCAAACAAGATACTCAAACTCACGCCTTACTCAAACAAGATACTCAAACTCACGCCTTCATCAAACAAGATACTCAAACTCACGCCTTCATCAAACAAGATAATCAGACTCACGCCTTCATCAAACAAGATAATCAGACTCACGCCTTCATCAAACAAGATAATCAGACTCACGCCTTCATCAAACAAGATCAATGCAATGACATGTTTTGCTATGTTGTACTCGATCACACGGAATGAAGTAAAGCCCAGTGATGCATTGACTTTGTTCAGAGTGAAAATCTAAAATCAGTTATTGATGATCGTGTGATTTTTTTTCTGTCTTGAAAACAAGGAACAGTTGATCTGTACATCATTTTACCTCTGACCAGTTGTTGACGACCCATTTTGCCGGACAGTCGATGCGATTACAATGCTGACGCCGTGGGGGAGTGGGCTGGTCACACATAAAATCCGGAAGGTGGAGGATGTTGTTTCTTCCGGAAGCGAACTCCTGGACACACGTGACGTTACGTATCATGAAACCCCCTCCGCATGTCGCTGAACAGCTCTGGAAATACCCGACCTTCCACCTATATAACAAGTGGTTTCTTTGAAAACTTCCATCAGTTTAAATGGAATCATGCTTCTTATAAATAACAAAAAATAATGCAAGTAAAAACAATATGAATGATAATTTTGATATGTCGAAGAATATAAAACAGGCAAACAAAGAACATTCCTGGAGCGTTGGTTCTATAGAAGAAGGTTTTTACCTTTGTGGACATGGAAAGTCATTGCAGACCTTCCTTTCTATCGGGATCGCTTCCGCTTCTGCGCAGAGCCTTTCCGGAGCTATCTCGTCCGTAAACTTATTGACACACCGGAGTATAGATTCCTTCACACCTGTTTAATAAAATGGGACACATGATAAGTATTTTCAATAGTAAAGCACACAGAAATTAACTATTATGACGGGCAACCCAGAGAAAAGAGACAGAGGAATCTTGTCGCCAAAATGGCATAATATTACTTCATTATATTTTTCCTACTTTTCTCATCCTTCGAATTGAAATTGAAATCGAAATAAAACTAGAGACCGAAGTCCACCTACACATGAGATTTAAGAAAGATCCATCAAATAGTTCTAAGGAAAGAGTGACCAAAATGTCGAACTATCAAATCTCGTGTCCACTTAGTTTGGATCAATCCAAGATTAAAGATACTAAACTAGGGACCAAGAGGAGTCCATATCCATCCAGTACTTCTTAACAAACAGCGATAACAAACTTCACCCTTCAAAATCCAATATGACCGCCTGTGAGCAATACTGACTATTGACAATAAGGGACAGAGGAACCTACATATGAAATCCGATGTTGATCTATCCTGAACTTTTTAAGAAAGGGCAATGACAAAATGTAACTGTCAAAATACAGGGACTGTCCTACGGCCATTTATTCCTCGGAGCAGTCCAAGAATTAAGCCTACACAACTAGGGTCCAAGGAGTGTATAAAATCTTGATAACAGATTCATCCAGTAGTTATTAAGATATTGCATAACAAAAATTGTGCGAGGACGGACGGTAGGACCGACGAAGGACAATAGGAAAAGGCAACTTGCATTGGTGATCTAAAAATAAAGGCATTTACTACCATATAACAAAAATAAAAGGCATTGAATGATGTAGAAGATAACTCCAGATATCAAACATAAACTACTTGCCTCCCAAACAGCTCCTGCTGCATTGGGTCTCGCCGATTGCTCGATATTCGAAGTGAGACAGACATGGGTTTCCCTCACACGGCTCGTTCTCTGGGGGCTTCGCGTCTGTTAAGGTTGTACAAAAGACACACAAGCGAAAAACACCTTTTAATACAAATTCAGAATTATATCGGTGCCAAATAACGAGTTTGATTACATCATACAGCGGTTTCGTCCTTTTAGGAATCGTTACTAATGTTACATCATACAGCGGTTTTGTCCTTTTAGGAATCGTTACTAATGCTACATCATACAGCTGTTTCGTCCTTTTAGGAATCGTTACTAATGTTACATCATACAGCGGTTTCGTCCTTCTAGGAACCGTCAGTGATGCTACATCATACAGCGGTTTCGTCCTTTTAGGAATCGTTACTAATGTTACATCATACAGCTGTTTCGTCCTTTAAGGAATCGTTACTAATGTTACATCATACAGCTGTTTCGACCTTCTAGGACTTGCTACTAATACTAAGGCATGAATTTTGAAATACTGGAGGCGACCGAGGACAATCTAAAATAACAGACATAGATAGTTACTTGGATCCCGTTCGTGTTAGCAGTATTCATTCAAATAGCCTAATGCGAAGAAATAAGATATAAAAGCATCTTTTCTAAAAATAACATGAAGATGACAACAATCTCAGTTTTGATTTGGTGTGACAAATGTAACCTTGTACTGACCTTGACAATCCGAGTCGGGAAGATCCGTCAATGTATTCAAGAATGAGAGGTAAACCTTACACCTGACAAATCGAAATCTGGATCCTTTCCCACAGGAAGCGCTGCAGGGTCCCCAATGACTGACTACAAACCTGACAAAAAACAAAGTGAAAAAAAGTTAATGGTTCATTGGGTTAAATTTCTTATCGACAGAGAAGACGGATCAGCCATCAGTAAAGTGGGGTTACCTTGGGGTTCGTAACTGTTGTGTGTCTAAGTTGTCTTCATAGATGACGTCAGCTGTGTAGAATGAGTCCCGCTGCTCCCCACCGTAGGCCTCCTGTACGTCGTCTTAACAATATAAGCAAAATCTATTAATATATTAATACATTTTATGGCATTTTGGAGTACTTGTAGAACTGAAGTTATTTTCGTTAGGGTGGGATATGGTGGTGGAGGTGGCTCTGGGTGTTAATTAAGGTTTTCATTCCGAAGGTATTTACAACGTCACAAAACGTAAAAATTAAAAAAAAAAAAACAAAAACAAAAAACACAAAAAATCAGGTTTTTCACAAACACTTTAGAAAATGTATTCGGATATTTATCCTCTTACCATTTTTCGGAGAACAAGGTATATTAGTTGAGCAATTTTTCCTAGTGACCGGTTTTCTGTCGGCATGGCAAAACTGAATCCCTATATGTCGACAAACGACATCTCGATCCTGGAAGCCTGACCCACACGAGACACTACACTGTTAACAGGAGGCAAAATAGGATATCAGTATCACAAGTCGGGGACGGGGGCCACCCCTTTTGTCTCAAAATTCGTCTTTTGTAGCATTTTCAAACGGTTGTTTTTTTAAGTAGTTTTTCTTTTAATTTATGTTTGTTTTGGAAATAGTGCTAAATTTTCATATTAACTCAAAATAACTATTTCAGAATCAACGTCATTATTGAAATCGATGTCTGAAAGGGATTTTTAGGAAACTTTTGATCGAGTCGAATAACAGCTAAAACTCCAAAAGGAATGGTGCATTAATGTTGAGGAATAAATCTGATTTCGGAGCCTGGCTATTAAGCCCTGACCGTTATATCAACTTACCACTCTCCCGGGTACCATGTTAACTTACCGGCATCCTCTCTCCCGGGTACCACGTTAACTTACCGGCATCCACTTTCCAGGGTACCATGTTAACTTACCGGCATCCACTCTCCAGGGTATCATGTTAACTTACCGGCGTCCACTCTCCCGGGTACCATGTTAACTTACCGGCGTCCACTCTCCCGGGTACCATGTTAACTTACCGGCGTCCACTCTCCCGGGTACCATGTTAACTTACCGGCGTCCACTCTCCCGGATACCATGTTAACTTACCGGCGTCCACTCTCCCGGGTACCATGTTAACTTACCGGCGTCCACTCTCCCGGGTACCATGTTAACTTACCGCCGTCCACTCTCCCGGGTTCCATGTTAACTTACCGGCGTCCACTCTCCCGGGTATCATGTTAACTTACCGGCGTCCACTCTCCAGGGTACCATGTTAACTTACCGGCGTCCACTCTCCCGGGTACCATGTTCACTTACCGGCGTCCACTCTCCAGGGTACCATGTTAACTTACCGGCGTCCACTCTCCCGGGTACCATGTTAACTTACCGGCGTCCACTCCCCCGCGTACCATTTTGGACACAGTATATTTCCACAAGATTTCCTTGTTGATGGTTTAGGGCTGGAACACTCTGTATCCGCCATCACTCTTTGTGTACCGTCCTGGAATGTTTCCACACAAATTACGGTTCGCCAAGCAAATCCACCCCCACATGTCTGTGTGCAGTCGTACCAGGGACCAACACGCCACCTGTAAAATCCAAACATATCGATGTCATTAACACAGATGACCAGGGTTCAAATCCCATATTTGACCCCGACAATCTTTTCCGCGTGTTGTTTACCACGTCAGTTATTTTGGTTAATGTACGGTTCAGTGCTTTATTTCCATGTGCTTCCGCTGATCTTGACCCCTCCTCCCTCCCCTCAGAGATAAAGCTGAATTGTTGAGACAGATGCAGAAAACATCTATCAGCTTTCTGTTTCCATTCTAGCGGGAAAAATACTGAGAAAAAACCTTCTGCTTTAGACTTCTACATTGCAACGCTAATGTACACTAACTTGAGTGAACTTGTATTTAACGGTCTTTGAGATATGACCTTGACTGATCACGGACTGGACCGTACTAGCTGCATCAGGGATAATTTTGTGATTATTTCTCTCTCTGTTTTTTATTTTGCTGTGAGAGCAGCCATTTCTAACCTTGGTAGGCACTTGTTGCTGACGCACTTCCGCCGGACACGCTCAATGACGTCACTTCCATGACAATTTTGGCTGGTGACCAGACGTCTGGTTCGGGTGTCCTGACAGGCTGTCCGGCGTTCCTGAAAACCTGTCATCATCATCAGTAACATAAATGTTTAACTTATAATACTATGTTAACAAATAACAAAATCTTCAGCCCCCATCCTCACACACACACTATACATACAACTTCCCTACAACTTCCTCCCCGCCACCATCCATACACTCCCCACAACATCCCACACCATCCCCGCCCAAGCACTTCCCGCACCCTCGCACATGCCATTCCTCACTCCCCGTACCCCCGCTCATGCCATCCCACACTTCCCGCACCCCGCATATGCTATCCCACACTCCCCGCACCCCCGCTCATGTCATCCCACACTCCCAGCGCCCCCGCTTATGCCATCGAACACTCCCCGCACCCCCGCTCATGCCATCCCACACTCCCCGCACCCCCGCTCATGTCATCCCACACTCCAAGCGCCCCCGCTTATGCCATCCCACACTCCCCGCACCCCCGCTCAGGCCATCCCACACTCCCCTTACCCCAGTCCTGCATAAAACACTTCCCAAAACCACTTTCCTGACACCCACACAAACTCTCCTCAAAGCTCCGTTCCCGCCTCTCATACGTTTTCAACAACTCCGTCTCTGCAATACACACGCACTTCCTTCCCACTCCACATCACCGAAACATACACCTTCCCGCCTCACAAGCACCATCACCATCGTCACGAACCACATATTCATTCCCAGCCACATACACACTTACTACAACCCCCGCCCCGCCACGCATATATTTTTTACCCCACAGCCCGAAAGGGTGTGGGGTATTGCGATCACGCACGGCGTCCGTCCGTCTGTCCGTCCGTCTGTCTGTCTGATCGTCCGTCCGTCCACAATTGCATACCGCTTATTATCTCAAGAAACTTCATCACCGGTCATCATCTTTTTCACTGAGGATGTTGGGCCTATGGACCTACACAACCCATTCTTGAGATAACTCTCCACTCACCCCAACCACACATTTCTAACTTTATAATAAGGCTGTGGGGTATTGTCCGCGTTTGCGGAGCTATTTCTTTCACAAACACTCCCTGCAATCTACTCTCGCAACATGCGCATCCTCCTCACAACCCGCTCCCCGCCACCCTCACACACTCCTCATAAACCGCTCCCCGCCACATACACACAATCCTCATAACCCACTCCCCGCCACATACACACACTCCTCACAACCTGCTCCCCGCCACATACACACACTCCCCACAACCTGCTCCCCGCCACATACACACACTCCTCACAACCCGCTCCCCGCCACATACACACACTCCCCATAACCCGCTCCTCGTCACATACACACACTCCTCATAACCCGCTCCTCGTCACATACACACACTCCCCATAACCCGCTCCTCGTCACATACACACACTCCTCATAACCCGATCCCCGTCACATACACACACTCCTCACAACACGCTCCCCGCCAAATACACACAATCCTCACAACCCGCTCCCCGTCACATACACACACTCCTCACAACCTGCTCCCCGCCACATACACACACTTCTCACAACCCACTCCCCGCCACATACACACACTCCTCACAACCAGCTCCCCGCCACATACAAACACTGCTCACAACCGACTCCCCGCAATATACACACACTCCTCACAACCAGCTCCCCGCCACATACACACACTTCTCACAACCGACTCCCCGCCACATACACACATTTCTCACAGCCGGCTCCCCACTACATACAAACACTTCTCACAGCCGGCTCCCCACTACATACACACACTTCTCACAGCCGGCTCCCCACTACATACAAAAACCTCTCACAGCCGGCTCCCCACCACATACAAACACTTCTCACAGCCGGCTCCCCACCACATACAAAAACTTCTCACAGCCGGCTCCCCACTACATACAAACACTTCTCACATCCGGCTCCTCACTACATACAAAAACCTCTCACAGCCGGCTCCCCACTACATACAAAAACTTCTCACAGCCGGCTCCCCATTACATACAAAAACCTCTCACATCCGGCTCCCCACTACATACAAAAACTTCTCACAGCCGGCTCCCCATTACATACAAAAACCTCTCACAGCCGGCTCCCCACTACATACAAAAACTTCTCACAGCCGGCTCCCCACTACATACAAAAACTTCTCACAGCCGGCTCCCCGCCACATACAAACACTTCTCACAGCTACTCCTTACCATCCACAATCTCCCCATATACACATCAACGTCTTTATCTATCCGCGTCCACTTATGAGTGTCTGTCCACATCTGTATTCATACACATGTCTGTCCGTATCCGTATATTGTGAAAAACGGTATTGTCCTACGCGAAAAAAGTGGTTTACTGCGCATCGAACGGATATAGTTATACATTAATATTGCAAAAGGGAAAGTAACTGATGTTACCTACACCACAGGTCTCCGAGCAAGGCCCGTATCCGGTATTGATCCATCGGTACTGGGTGTTTCCGGTCTTGGTTAAACACGAGTTCTTGCCACCACATACTCCACAGGAGTCCACGTACTTTTTGGAGTCTAGAACTTTATCACAGCCAACAGGCTGACAGACAGACAATATTTCAAATTATAGCGCTGTCTCCAAACAAAAGGCCTAGGCGGCCTGCATCGCTCATCTGTCTTTTCAGTGACTTAACAAAGAATTTCAAATATGACAAGCAGTTTCTGAAACAATTTCAGTATTAGGTCCCTGCATTGTGTTCAAACAGAAGTCAGATTCACTCGTCATAAAGATTGATTCAGACTTAATTTGGCAATACCCTTGTACGGAAGAAGGATTTTTTAAGGACATTGACGCACTGCTACTAGAGTGAGGCTCCGCGAATAGAGCGCCCTCTCTGAGTCATACTATAGCCCAACTGGAAATCTATGACGTATTAATACACTTTCCCGATAGGGTCCCGCCTTACGAGGCTGAGGTCTTTACGTTTATAAAGGACTTATTCCCCTTCACCAAAGATAGTTTAAGACCAAATTTGATTAATATCCATTCATTCCTACAGAAGGAGTAGGATTTTATAGAATTAAGATTGATGGACGACAGACGGACGGACGGACGACAGACGATGGACGCCGCGCCATGGCAAAAGTATTTCGGACCAGATGAGCTAAAAGTACTTAATCAAATGGTTTACATTCAAAATTTAAAGGATAAAGAAGGCAAGTAAACGCCAAATATTTGTAATACTAAACTCACATCTTATAAAGCTTGAAAACAGTAGACTGGACAGGAGTAATCCGTAAAAAGAAAATAAAATCTCACCCAGCATTTCCCGTTGATACAAATATCCAGGACATCATCCTGGCATCTTGTACCATCCAGGACTTTCGGACTGAACCTCCGGATAGTATTCGAACCCACAGCCTGACAATAAAGGGCACAAGGGCTTGTAGAGTCATGGTAGGGCACCCACTTCAGACTGGTCACCATGTGTCGAGCTTCATTGTGGGCAGCGCATTGCTGCAACCGGAAGTCCGTGCTCCCACGTGGACAATCCTGTGAGGATTAAACTAAGATATTAATCGGCAAACAAAAAAGAAAAAAAGCAGAATTTAAAATGTCTGAATCAAACTACATGTACTAAATTGTATATTTAGTAGTCAATCTGCCCCTAGGAAGAATTTACTTATTATGTTTGTTTAAAGAAAATCAGATAAAAAGGAAACATTAACATAGTTTGTAGAAAGAAATAGACCTGTATATTGTAATATAGCCCTGTATGTAATTGTACATGTGTATTGTAGTAAAGCCCTGTATGTAGCTGTACCTGTATATTGTAATATAGCCCTGTATGTAGCTGTACCTGTGTATTGTAGTAAAGCCCTGTATGTAGCTGTACCTATATATTGTAATATAGCCCTGTATGTAGCTGTACCTGTGTATTGTAATATAGCCCTGTATGTAGCTGTACCTGTGTATTGTAATATAGCCCTGTATGTAGCTGTACCTGTGTATTGTAATATAGCCCTGTATGTAGCTGTACCTATATATTGTAATATAGCCCTGTATGTAGCTGTACCTGTGTATTGTAATATAGCCCTGTATGTAGCTGTACCTGTGTATTGTAATATAGCCCTGTATGTAGCTGTACCTGTATATTGTAATATAGCCCTATATGTAGCTGTACCTGTATATTGTAATATAGCCCTGTATGTAGCTGTACCTATATATTGTAATATAGCCCTGTATGTAGCTGTACCTGTGTATTGTAATATAGCCCTGTATGTAGCTGTACCTGTGTATTGTAATATAGCCCTGTATGTAGCTGTACCTGTGTATTGTAATATAGCCCTGTATGTAGCTGTACCTGTATATTGTAATAGAGCCCTGTATGTAGCTAAACCTGAATATTGTAATATAGCCCTGTATGTAGCTGAACCTGTATATTGTAATATAGCCATGTATGTAGCTGTACCTGTATATTGTAATATAGCCATGTATGTAATTGTACATGTGTATTGTAGTAAAGCCCTGTATGTAGCTGTACCTATATATTGTAATATAGCCATGTATGTAATTGTACATGTGTATTGTAGTAAAGCCCTGTATGTAGCTGTACCTATATATTGTAATATAGCCATGTATGTAATTGTACATGTGTATTGTAATATAGCCCTATATGTAGCTATACCTGTATATTGTAATATAGCCCTGTATGTAGCTGTACCTGTGTATTGTAATATAGCCCAATATGTAGCTGTACCTGTGTATTGTAGTATAACCCTGTATGAAGCTGTACCTGTGTATTACATGTCGAGTACCGGATGTGCTCTCCATCACAACCTCGCGCGAATCGCCTGCTACGAAGGCAGCGTCTTAGCTGGTAGGCCGCCCCGGAGTCGCACGTGCGGGAACATTCGCTCCATTCTGTCCATATTGACCAGTAGTCAGCTACTACCACGTGACATGTCTGAAAAGAATGAGAACATCAGAAACAATAAAAAAAATGTAGAAAATTGCGAAATCCATACCTTACTTTGTTACCACTGACAAGGAAATAGGATCGTTTCTTGTCTGAAAAGTGATCAAACTGCCTTCCTATTTTAGAGTGTATATTATGTAAATCAACTCGAAACTGTCATTTCAGGTATGACACTTTAAGTATGTTGTGACGTCACAATCTTGCACGTTTGCTTGAACGTGATATAACTGTTGTCACCTGACATTGGTCATGAACTATAGCTGCATATGTCTAAGTTTTTACGTCCACATCCAGTGAAATTCAGACAGTGCCCAAACACAATGTACCCTGGATACCTGCCTATTGGTTCCACATTCTGAAGACGGAATGACCGAAATCTATTCATCGAATTAATTAATAAAAACTGAACCCTCGAGAAATTAATTGAGCGCTCGAGATAATATAAGTGTTCGCGATAAAAAGTAGGGCGATCGAGATAACTAATATATATAATAAGTTTGTCTTTTATACAAAATGTATACACAAAAAGTTATTTTCACAAAACTCACAAGATCATGTGTCTATGGACCGAGAATCCAGCACGGGGCCTCAGACCGTGAAATACAGTGTTATAAGCTCAAATTTATTATTTATTTGCATCGAGACTGACAGTGTAAAGTGTTAAAATGTTTCGGTAGATATATGTATACCTACATAGCTCGTGTCACGCAAGCGATCAAATTACAAACAGATTCTTAAGGAAACTATAAACAAATCCGGCGTTGATAAAAAACAGGCTCTGAATACTAGCTTGTGATGACCATTGATGTCAGGTCTGTGTTAGAACGATCTCAATCTGCCTGATTATAAGATAATTCAGCTTGATCATGAAGCCTCGTGGCACGGATTTTACGCTTATAATGTCAAATACTAGCGTACCCCCACATCATTATCCTTTACAAATGGCATATGTTAGATTCTGCAATTAGTGTAAGTTTAGATCAAACGGTTTTGTGTTTCTCGCCAGCACATTGACTGTCTAGGAGGAGAAATGAATCCCTGTATTGTCAGAACAATTACCTTTACGAGATATCATCGTTTTCCAAGCTAGATACGGAAAGCTTTCTTTATTCCACAGTACTACATAGGCTTGTAACTATAATGTCTACCCTACCTCAGCCTGTAACTATAATGTCTACCCTACCTCAGCCTGTAACTATGATGTCTACCCTACCTCAGCCTGTAACTATGATGTCTACCCTACCTCAGCCTGTAACTATGATGTCTACCCTACCTCAGCCTGGAAATATCGTGTGTAGCCTATCGTAGTCTGTAAATATGTTACTATGGGGTATACCCAACCTAAGCCTGTAAATATCGTGTCTAACCTACCTTAGCTTGAAACTATGGTGTCTAACCTACCTTAGCTTGAAACTATGGTGTCTAACCTACCTATGCCTGTAACTATGGTGTCGAACCTACCTTAGCTTGAAACTATGGTGTCGAACCTACCTTAGCTTGAAACTATGGTGTCTAACCTACCTATGCCTGTAACTATGGTGTCGAACCTACCTAAGCCTGTAACTATGGTGTCTAACCTACCAAAGCCTGTAAATATCGTGTCTAATCTACCTTAGCCTGTAACTATGGTGTCTAACCTACCTAAGCCTGTAACTATGGTGTCTAACCTACCTAAGCCTGTAACTATGGTGTCTAACCTACCAAAGCCTGTAAATATCGTGTCTAATCTACCTTAGCCTGTAACTATGGTGTCTAACCTACCTAAGCCTGTAACTATGGTGTCTAACCTACCTAAGCCTGTAACTATGGTGTCTAACCTACCAAAGCCTGTAAATATCGTGTCTAATCTACCTTAGCCTGTAACTATGGTGTCTAACCTACCTAAGCCTGTAACTATGGTGTCTAACCTACCTACGTCTGTACCTATCGTAGCACCTAACTATCGTGTCTAACCGACGATTCCCTATTAACAGGTTCTGGTATATAATGAAGATAGACATCCTATATACTTCACGATACAGAGGCAGACAGGCGCACAGATAAATAAGATTCATACATAAGATCACCAACAATTTGTGACATGTTCAGTAGTTTTTTCCAGATGATGTTAGGATTATTATCGCCAAATTATAAATGTCCGTTACAGACAAAATTGACGGAGTTTATCACTGATAACAGACCATGCCATGCACATCTTATATTTTATATATGACCTTGTCCCACTTAATTCTTCCACAGTCCACTAGTCGGTTCACAGTTCACTCGTCAGTCCTCTAATCCACTCGACACTCCCCCAGTTCTATCGTCAGTCCTCTACTCCATTCGACACTCCCCCAGTTCTTTCGTCAGTCCTCTACTCCACTCGACACTCCCCCAGTTCTATCGTCAGTCCTCTACTCCACTCGACATTCCCCTAGTTCTATCGTCAGTCCTCTACTCCATTCGACACTCCCCCAGTTCTATCGTCAGTCCTCTACTCCACTCGACACTCCCCCAGTTCTATCGTCAGTCCTCTACTCCACTCGACACTCCCCCAGTTCTATCGTCAGTCCTCTACTCCACTCGACACTCCCCCAGTTCTATCGTCAGTCCTCTACTCCACTCGACACTCCCCCAGTTCTATCGTCAGTCCCCTACTCCACTCGACACTGCCCCAGTTCTATCGTCAGACCTCTACACAACTCGATACTTTCTCAGGCTCCTATGCACTATTTGTTGGAGTCTGATACTCCGAAGTTCTCTTCTGGACACCCTCTATACATCTCTGTCCTGGGCACGTGTCTGACACTCCGAAGTTCTCCTCGGGACACCCTCTATACTTCTCTGTCCTGGGCACGTGTCTGATACTCCGAAGTTCTCCTCGGGACACCCTCTATACTATACTTCTCTGTCCTGGGCACGTGTCTGATACTCTGAAGTTCTATTCTGAACACCCTCTATACTTATCTATCCCGTGCACGTGTCTGGTACTCTGAAGTTCTCCTCGGGACACCCTCTATACATCTCTGTCCCGTGCACGTGTCTGATACTCTGAAGTTCTCCTCGGGACACCCTCTACACTTCTCTGTCCCGGGCACGTGTCTGATACTCCGAAGTTCTCCTCGGGACACCTTCTATACATCTCTGTCCTGGGCACGTGTCTGATACTCCGAAGTTCTCCTCGGGACACCCTCTAAACCTCTCTGTCCTGAGCATGTGTCTGACACTCCGAAGTTCTCCTCAGTACACCCTCTATACTTCATTGTCCTTGGCATGTGTCTGATACTCCGAAGTTCTCCTCGGGACAACCTCTATAATTCTCTGTCCTGGGCACGCGCCTGATACTCTGAAGTTCTCCTTGGGATACCCTCTATATATCTCTTTCCTGGGCACGTGTCTCATACTCCGAAGTTCTCCTCGGGAAACCCTCTATACATCTCTGTCCTAGGCACGCGTCTGATACTCCGTAGTTCTCCTCGGGACACCCTCTATACTTGTGTGTCCTGGTCACGTGTCTGATACTCCGATGTTCTCCTCGGGACACCTCGTATTTTCTGTTGTATGTTCCCGAGGTTGGCACGTGAAATGAGAATGGTGTGATTTTAGAATGTTACTTGAGCGACCCAGTAGTGATGGATAGATAGCTAATCAACCAAACAACCAAATAAGTGACCGACGAATTCAAATCTAATTTCATCAATAAGGCGATTCGATTATTTCGATGTTATACTAATGTATATACATACAGTGTGTATATAATATCGTCTACAAGTATTTTTACTAAAATGCGAAGAGTTAACGTATTCGTATGATATATACGAACATGTATGATGAAAGGCACGTGCATATGCACGGATTCTTTTCATCTTGTAGAAATACTCTAAGTACGTAATAAACCCTATGTTTCTACTTATAAAATGCATCTAGAATCATCTGTAAATATCACAATAAAAATACCACACAAAAGATATGGACTGAAAATATTCACCAAGGCTCACATTTGCGCATGCGCAAACTTGAGCTCAATTATCCAATTGTTCTCAAAAATTTTTATCATAAAAATGAAATATTTCTTTCCAGTGTTGATAGAGTAAAGAAAATACAGGCAAACGGAATTATCTGAAATAAAACTGTGTAATAAAGTTGAATAATGGCCCGACAGAACCACCTCGTTAGTGTTGTTGTTACAAGCGTTTAAGCAGAAGACATATTGTTGATTGTAATACTAGAATGCCTATCTTTATTGGATCATGGTGAGTCTATGGAGAACGAAGGTTCTATTCTCTGTAACTATCTACAGATAATGATCCTTTGTGTTCCCGAAAATTTTCAAAAATCCTCCGAATATTACGGTGCCTGAGAGCGGACATCATGATAATAATTGTAAGAGAATGAAATATTGTTGCGAGGGGACGAAATGTTATTGCCTGGAAATGAAATGGTATTAAGAAGGAACGCAATAATAATGCTAAGGAACGAAATGTTATTGCTACGGAACGCAATAATAATGCTAAGGAACGAAATGTTATTGCTACGGAACGCAATAATAATGCTAAGGAACGAAATGTTATTGCTACGGAACGCAATAATAATGCTAAGGAACGAAATGTTATTGCTACGGAACGCAATATTGTTGCGATGGAATGCAATTTTACTGGGCTCAAACTCAATATGGTGTAACTCATTACTGACCAAAACAAAACACAGGGTTACACCAATAGATATACAAGTCGTTTCTATCTTGTCCATTTCTCGCCATCATTGGTACCTAATTATGTCTGTAATGTTTCTGTAGCCAAAAGATTTGCGGAAGAAGTCGTTCTTGTAGAACTTATAGAAGTTGATCATCAAGGCATAGGTCATATGTCATTAAAATGTATAGTTCATGACCTCCAATTGTAAAAGACAATACCGTTAATATTACGGCATAACTGGAGTGTTGCTGTAAGGATGGGTAATATGAAACTCCAGGTAAAAGTCCGTGGACAGAATGATGATTTTTTTTTTCA